AGAAAGAACTTGTGTCGCTAAAGTTTCATCGCAAAGAAATTATACGGGAAATTAACTAACGACCAGAGACGTAACACTATAAAAAAAATCAATATATAATTTTAGAAATAGTCGATACTACCATAATTACGTCCCATTAAAGTACAATAAATAATGAGCTATGAAAGGAAAAATGTAATTCAAGTTGTATGTAAAATGGGCTAAGATGAATGAAACGGTTCCCGACGTGAACCCTCATCTCTGACTATACGGGGCTTTATCATGGATAAAAGTTTGCCGGTGGTCAGTACTAGGATTTATTTGATCTATTTAACCCGCATGGCTTTCATTGTGCTGTCAGAAAAATAGATATGTCATAGCTCACAGAATCTTAAGCGACCATTAAGTAGTCTTCAAAAACGAGAAGAAAAAACCATTTGAGGTAAGATTATAATTATGAAACTTATAATTTAGTTGCCTGTTTAATATGTATATATTTGTTTGAATTTATGCGCAAAGCTACACAATGGGCCATCTGTGCTCTTTATTACAATTAAAGTTACCATCTTTTAAGTTTAAAAAAGATATGATGAGTTAAGGTTATAAGAAATAAGTCGTAAAGAACAAAAATTCTGACAAATTTTTGAAATTATTATGACAAAATAAGTTAACAACTGTAGAATAAAAACGGTTTATTAGAGCCCAGTTTTTGGCTTACGTTTTTTTTAAAAGCCAATTTCTTTATTTGAAGCCCCTCAGTGGCACAGTAGCATGTCTGCGGACTTGAAACGCTAGAAACCAGGTCTCGATGCCCCTGGTGTGAAGAGCACAGATAATCTACTGTGTAGTTTTGTACTTAATTTCAAACAAACAAAATTTATTTGTAATTGTATTTATATCTCCAATACCTGTTTAAAATCCTTAATTCAAAAATTACTGGATTTTCTGTCATAAAAGAGGTCGCTTCACAGATTATGGAAACATCTAGAGTGGTGTGGGCTGTAGGCCTAATAAGTTATGATGTAGCTAATATGCTCTTTTATTTTTAATTGCTTAGAATTGAATTACACAAAGGAGAAAAATCCGCAAAATAAGCGTAAATGGTAAGTAATGCATATTATGCAAGATATGTATGTATATATATATATATATATATACACGTATATATTTGATGTACTCAGGTGTTGAACCCAAAAAATCGCATTTTAAATTTTGTGATTCTTGTTCTGTATAAAAAGAGTTTTTTTCTTTTGTAATAATGTTTGGACAACAGTGGATCATTTCGTCCATCAGTTCAAGTTCAACTTGAGTCTTGACTATCTCTGCACACTTAGTCCCGAGAAAAAACTAAACCAACTCATTTATTTTTCAGAAAAATATCGATACCCCTTTTAAATTCTGGCAAATTTTCAACCTCAACAACAGCTGATAGAAACTCATTCTGTAACTGTAAGCCAATCACCCTGTTATTTAAATAAAACTGCCTTAACTGGAACATTGCCTGTTTTTTTTTCATATCTTAAAAGAAGTTAGAAGCCTATCAATTCTCCAAATAATAACCATGAACTCTATTAAGCTTGTAGTATTTATTAAGCTATAGTAGAATCCTTTCTCTGTAGTAAATTGTACTTTTTCGAGTTAAGTCAATAGCCTTTCTTAGAATAGACTGCAACTGTATACAGTATTCCAAGTAAGATCTAACACTAACAGCACAAGCCATGCCATGTTAAAGAGAAAACCATTCTACAAGTTTATAAATAACCCAAAAATTGTTCAAGAACAAGTCTAGATACGTGGTTCTTAAGTTTTGAACCTGTTATCCCTCAGTAATAATCAATTGTGTATTTCATTTCATTATTCAGAGAACTCTTAGAAAGACAACAAAGCTCCTTAACAAACTTGTACACCTGATTAAGTCCTCCTACTTCATTTGTGTTCCAAGGAAGATTCTAAAATTTTTTTGTAGCGTAAACCTCACCTCAGGAGTAGGGTTACCAGACATCCCAGTTTTTAGCCTTACTTTTTTGACCCAACTAGAAACAGTAAAAGTGTTAAATTGTCCCAGTTTCTCTGTACCTTAGTGTGGGTTTGATATATATGGTTTGTTATTATACATGAGTCGTTTAAATTTTACTTGGAGAATCACCTGACAAAAACAATCATGTGGTACAATGTTCCCTTCTTTTATGTTGTATTTTCTTAATCTATCATTGGGCAGCCACAGCATTTGAGATTTGAAGATCTGCCCAGTTACGAAAAAGAAAGTGAATAAATATTTTCTTTTGAGTAGGATTAAAACAACTTAGGCATGTTTTTTAATTTACTTACTATGTTTTAAGCTAGATAAACTTTTAATAAATTTTGTCTATGGTTTTGAAATGTGATGCAATAAACATTAGATTATTTATTTTAACATAAAACCCTATAACCTGAGCTCTTTCAAAAGGTGTACATTTCTTCATTAGGGAAAAATAGATGAAGAAAGGTCCACCTTTCAAAAGTGCTTGGGTTATAGGGCTTTGTATTATTGTATTAAATTGGTTTTTTGAACCTTCATATTTTTCTAACAGAAAGAGATTATTTTAGAATGTGATGCAATAAGCATCAAATTATTTAGCAACAAAGCTGTTAAAATGTCATTCCACATGGAAAAAAGACCCAATTTTTTTATTTTGGAAATCTAGTAACCCTACTCAAGAGTCATGCTAGCATCCTGTGTTTTCACTTTTTCCAACTTATTTGCATTCTTCAGATTCTTGTAGTAAAGAGACCAAATCTGTTCACAGAATACCAAATGAGGCCTCACCAGAGATTTATACCAGGCTACAATAATATCTTTGTTTTAAATTCATAATATCCTTTGATAACATAATTAATGAAATTGAGAAATCTTAGCTCTTTGCACCACAGATAAAAACTAGGAAGACTACTTTAGAATGTTAGTAATAAGAACTTCTAAGTCTTGTTTTTCCAACATCACAAGCACTACTCTTAATCTTATACAAGTTTATTTTCAACAGCCCTAAGAGTATTACCAGCTTATATATTCATTTAATTCCTTCATAATAGGTCAAGCAAATTCCCTCATCACTATTCAAATCCTTGTGAAGGCATTTGGGGCTTCCCCCAAACATAATTATTTCCAAACCTGTTTAGATGGATCTCCTTACATGAATACATGTTTTCTATCTTTAAACCTGTTTCACAGATCTAAGCAGTTTACTTGTTGGCCCAAACATATCCTCAATAATATCTTACTTAATTCTTTTACTTTGTGTAGAGTTTTTTGTCCACACCTAACACATGGAAAAACTCCTGAAAGAACTACTTGATAATTTGTTGCAATGCTTTCCCTGTTAAGGCTTCAGACTTTTTATGAGCACATTGTTTTCTATACCTCTGTCTGCCATTATGAGGGTATTGTTTTCTATACCTCTGTCTGCCATTATGAGGGTATTGTTTTCTATACCTCTGTCTGCCATTAATTTGAGCATTTGGAAGTATTGTTCATTATCAAATTTACACCTGATTTTATGCTATGCTTTAGTGTATTGTGACAAAGTTTGAAACTAATGAATGATTTTCATAAATAAACAAATATAAATTTTATAATGTATTCTAATTATACAAAGTAACAATTTTTTTCTTAGGTGTACTGAAACAGGCTGTAATTTCTCTACTGTGAAAAATGACTGATGTAAGTCTACAGTTAAAGAATTACCTCAGGAAACTGGATATGCCTGCAGTTCTCAGTGAGACATTGTGTCAGATTGAAGAGATAACATTCAGCTCAGATGCATCTCGCAGTTATCAGCAGCTTATCACTGAACTCGTAGAAGAGTTTGTTTTCTCTGAAATTGATAGACGGGGCCAACCAAAAAGAAAGTTATCAGAAATTAGAGAGCTTCAGATTTTGCACTCTCTTTGTGATTACTTTAGTGAGTCCAGAAAAGAAAGAAGATTGGCTATTTTTTTGTTACTTTTCCCATGTTCATCAAGATTACCTGAAAAAAGACAATCGTTATTAGCTCAGTTAGTATCATTAGCTGTTGCTGTAAAGAACAGTAGTATTTTACAGTGTGTGGGTATGTGGATGCAGTATATAGGATGTACATCCACAGTCTCCATGTACGTAGCCAATACTTTACTGACAGATTACTTTAAGGTAATTCCAGACTGTACTGGATACTTGGTAGATTTACCAGAAATTTCACCAGTATTTTGTGCCAGCCTCATTGTTGCATTGACACGCATTGTACCTGAAACTTCTCCACCGTTAAAAGTAGTCGAACTAATATCGCAGTGGATAGGTTCCTCCTCATCAGTATGTTTTAGTCCACTGGAAATTCTTCCTCCAGATCCTTCCCATTACACTGAACCAGAAAGCCCATTATGTGGGCTCTTACTTTGGTGTATTTTGTCTCCTTTCAGAGAATGCAAGTCTGACGTATCACCATATGATAAAGTAATTCTTTCTTCACATGATTCTTTGAAACCTATTGAAAAAAGTGATAACAGTTCAAATGTTTTTTCCTGTCTTCACTTAATGCTTTTAGAGACCATGATGAAATCTGGACAAAGCAGGTATGATGTTACACTACTTAAATACATGGTTCCCATCCATGAAGTTATTCGAATGATTAAAATTGTGTCCTCTAAATGTACTTGCGTTAACCCATCTTCTGATGCTGTTGAGGTCTCTATGTCACGTTTAGCCCAAATGTTGCAAATAGCTTGTGCATCAAAATGTCTTCAGGGAAATTTAGAAGATATTTTTAAGTTGGTTCATCATTTACCATATTCACGACTGCTACATATCGTTACAGGATTTGGAAGAAAATAATTTTTCCTTTTCTGTCATGTTAAGAATAACTGTTTATTTTTCTTTTCTTTTAATGTTTACATTTGAATTGAGTGAAGTATAAAAGATAATAAAAACTATGAAATCATAAGTTTCAGACATTTTATTTACCTTACCAATATTTTATATTTTCAAAAGCTTTGTTATACCACTCTACTATATATTATTACTGTTCTTATTCATTACTTTAAACATCATTCAGTAAAGATTTACCTGATTTTTACATCACTAAAACATTTTTACTTTTATATTGTAAGTTTTTAGGAAAATCTCAAGAGTTAGCTAAATGAAACATTTTTGTTAATCAGTCTTTTCATAATATAATAATGAAAGTCTTCCGGATATTTATAAAAAATCCTGAAAACCTCCGGTTTTCTTCCGGAGAAACAC